CAAAACTCAACACTATGAGTACAAGGAGCAATCTATTCCCTGGGTAAACTAACATGAAGCCAGAGACTTCACACATGAATTAACTGATGAGAAATAAAAAAGAGCACATAGTCCGTTTTGCTGACTGTTCCTCACATCCCGCCCTCCAACACAAAAATACTCCTCCTTCCCGAAAGCACCAGTTTGAAATCGAAGAAGAAAACAAAATCTCCATATTCTGCATCAGTCAGCGTCTACAATATCGAGGCTATAGGTGGGATTCGATCTCCGTGTGTCTGCGTGTGAAAAAAGAAAATCAATATCAACTACAGACGCAACACAACGAGCCAAATGAAGAGACGCGACATCGATCTGTGTAAACACTTCAGTGTTTTTACGGCCGTCAGCTAAAACAGGCTCGATACCGAGTGTGAGGTGGAGGAGGAGGCGATGGTCTGAAAGCTCGTCTGGGATGCGACTCTTCTCACACCCTGTGCATGCTGGGAGAATCTCCCGCCCTCTCTCCTGATCTTTAACCGGAGCAGCAGCCTGATCGATGCGGAGGATTATTTTACAATTAATTATCCTCAACTGTTACGTGATCCATATTTATATGGATCATGTTTGCAGTTTTATATGATGAAGGAATTCTAGAGTAACGTATGGATCAGGGATTAGTGCAGGTCTTCTATGCATTCCTTGTGCAGGTCGAAATGTGTCCGGACCACAGCGCCAAAAATAATCAAGTGAATAGTTTTGCATGAAATTGTTCCAGAATGTTTTGGGTGGAAAGCAGCCTCTGTGAGTGTGACACCTGAAACCCCAAGAGTGAGAGAAGGGCTGAATAAACACAATCAATTCACTAATCAAATATTCTGATGTCATGTAAGAAGAGAACCTCAAAGAAAGCAAACTTTAAATGACAGGTGACACACTTCCACCGATGGAGCCCCACACACACACCTATGTGACTGGTAGCCTGTCTGTCTATTGATACGACATAACCGACTGAAGGAGTTGTTTTAAGAAACTCCTCTGGGTTTATTTAACCTCACGGCCCCTCCTGTCTGTCTCCTCGTCTCCTAGGCTGCGAGACGTGTCTATATTCAGCTCGGACCAGGATATCGCCTGGATCAAGAGCAAACACACACACACACACACACACACACACACACACACACACACACACA